CTGACCTCAAAGTGCACAAGCGACCAACTTCAGCGTTGGCTGCGATTTTGAAGCTGAAATCGTGTTCGGTGTGAACGCAGCATTACACCTTATTTCCTCTAATATTCTCTTGCCTTGTGAGTTGATTTTGTATAGGTTTTCTACACTGCCTGACCAAAACAAAAGTCACTCACTAATATTTCGTTGGACCTCTTTTAGCTTTGATTACAGCACACATTCGCTGTGGCATTGTTTCGATGAGCTCCGTAGACCGGACCAACTGCAGCAGCCCCAGATCATAGCCCCGCCCCCACAGGCTGGTACAGTAGGCACTAGGCATGATGGGTGCATCCTCAAAGATGATGGGTCCCCACGATCCTTCCACTTTTTAATAATGCGCTGGACAGTTCTTAACCCCGTTTTAGTAGCCAATGATTTGACCCTTCTCAGACAGACTATCTTTTCTACGATCACGGGATGTGTCTTTCATCATGGTTGTTTAACAAATATGAAGAGACTCATTGCACCAGTCGGGGTTAAATAACTTGTTGCTAGCTGAAAGATAATCCCCCATGCAGGTTCATACATATTTGCTTAAGTAAATTCAGGTGGCAATGTTTTTTGTTTTATTTATTTATTTATTTTTGGGCCAGGCAGTGTATATTAAAGCACAAAAGAAAAGAGTAAACAAACTGATTAATTTACAAAAAAAACTTATTTGTTTCAAAATTGATGTAGATTATTTTAGTTGTAAAATGCTCAAATGCGCAAAAACTACAACATTTTATTTTATTAAATTTTGTCATAGAAGACTTAAAAAAAAACAAATGCTTCTAACGTGTTGCCATTGAAATTGTGTTGTTAAGTGTGTTTATGTCTTTTTTTTTCTTTTAATCAGTCATGAACCTGGACCGCATGGAGAACCTCACCTACGACAAGCAGCGTTTCCCTCGTTACCACGCCACTCTGTTTCGCAGTCAAACCTTGTGGGATCCCTACACCCACGTGACGCTGCGCCCGGCCGCCCTGGTGCCACAACGACAGCAGCAACACAACTGGAAGGAGAAAGAGGGGACAGAGAAAGATTGTAAGAAGAACAGACACACTAGCGGCGCAGAACCAAGAAAAGTTTCTAATTCCTTTCTGTTTTAGCCGTTGCCCCTCAGAGTGCTGCCTCGGCCCCCAGTGGTATCTCGGCCAATCAGACGAGAGAATACACCGCAGCCAGACGCAGCTTGTCAGTGCCTGAGCCCCCCATCACCATCATCATCTTGCTCATCTATCGAAGCCTGGGTGCTGCTCTGCCTCCTAAATATCACGCAGATCGGAGAGGAGTGAGGTGAGATTAATGGTCACGTTTAACCTTTAATGAGCTGACCAAACCATTATCATTATCACTTCATTAACTATATGTTATTGGACGGGTAGTAAATAACCAGACATAGCAATTTTATTTTCAGTTATGGAATAAACACTTAAAAAAGGCATTATTTTTTTATTATGATGTTGACAAGAATTTATTTTACAAAATATCTGAGTATGGCAACCACTGCACCTGCCTTTAAAGGGGACATATCATGCAAAATCCACTTATTTATTTATTTATTTAGTATATATTCATTTCATTTAAAAACAACAAACAAAATAAAACATACAACAAAATAATGCAAATCAAATAAAATGAAGGGCAGCAGAAGAAGAAAAGAATCTTATGACATCTACTCCTATTTACAACAAAAATGATTATAAATTGTAATTTTTAGCATGTTGTTGTGTACGTGGAGTCTCTAGGAGTGCATAAAAGTTGAATTTAGTGTTTACCGGTGCTGCAAACATGTCTTTATATTCTACTAGGGTCATATTTTTTTATCTTGTTCAGTTTTCTCTTTTTTCCAAGTTTTATAAACCCCTTCATTAAATCAGAATAGACTGCTCTGGAAGCAGGAGGCGAGTGG